TACCCCGAAAATAAGACCTAGTACTATTTTTGGGAGTTGATAAAATATATGACCTACTCCGAAAATAAGACCTAGTTGTGACCATTGCCAGGGCCGGTGGTGGCATAAGGGGGAACCTGAAGAGCCGTGGGAGAGAATCAGCGTGCCAATGAAGCCAGCGCTAGAGGAAGTGATGCGGCAGCACAGGGAGCAGAGCCGCATAAGCCGATGTTTACTCTATAGCGCCAACTCCTGTCACAGGTGGAGTGATACCCAATGCACGCCTGTGAGGAATCTATAGTGAAAGTGCGCTTCGCTTTTTCTGGTTACCAAATTGCTCTTGGAAAGGTACCTCTGATTGCCCTGATCACCCTATTCTTAACTTTGCCATTTTGGATTATTTCATTTGGATTTGCATTAACTTTGGATTGTTATACATTAAAAAAAATATAAAAAAATAAGACCTCCCCCGAAAATAAGACCTCCCCCGAAAATAAGACCTCCCCCGAAAATAAGACCTAGTGTGTTTTTGTGAGCCAAAAAAAATATAAGACAGTGTCTTATTTTCGGGGAAACACGGTAAGCAAATGGCACAAGACTGAGGCTCCACCATTGTGAGGATTAGGGATAAACATTTCAGGGGGTTACGTGTAAGGTTTCTGGGATGGATTAAGAATTAAAGTTCAGGATCCGTTTAAGTGTTGAAGGACAGCTTCACCTTAAGGCTGGATTCATACCTAGGCGACTGGTATTCCGCATGTGTTTTAGCTATTTTTGCGCGCGTTTCACGCACGTATATAAAGTCGCACGTTTTTGTGAGCCGATTTTGGCACGTTCATGTGAATGGGCAAAAGGCGCATACATTTTTTTTTTAAATCGCAATGTGCGTTTTTCAAGAGTTTTCTATTGAGTCTATGGACCAAAATGTGCTGAAATCTTGGATAAAGTAGCTCATGTACGATTTCGGGCGACATGCGTATTTCTGCTTGCAACAAAACTCACAGGTGTGAACCGGGGCCATAGAAATTAATAAGATTCCTTGAGTAGAGCGTTTTGTCATGCTGAATCGGCTGCGAAAACATGCCTAGGTGCGAATGGAGCCTTAGTGAAACTGCTAAACCGGCACACTATGCTCTTTCAAAGAAAATCAAGCTTTATTCCACATGCATCTGTACAAAAAAACAGCCACTGACCCGTTTCTGCCTTACTCGCTCCAAGTCATAGCTGTGACTAAGGCCTAGTAAGGCAGAAAAGTCTCAGCAGTTTTTTGTACAGATAATGTGGAATAAAAAACTTGATTTTCTTTGGAAGAGCATCATGTGTCGGTTTTGCAGTTGCTAAGACAATTACTCCAGAAGAGGGTTATCCATGCACTGAGCGTGGATTACAAGGATGCATGACAGGGGTGAGCTGAGCATTTTGTGTTTCTAGTCTGCACCTTTAGTGAAATTGTCCTTCAATACATCTCCCTGCCTCCTGGAATAATAGTTACTTTCCTCCCCCATTTAGCTGTCCTTTGACAAGGTTCTGGCTAGCTGCATACTGTGAATGTGTGCCATGGTCCCCATTAATTCCTATTGGTGAACCATACTCTACTTGACAAATGGAGGCCGCCATGAGTATGGCTACCTATAGAAATGAATAGAGCCACAGCATGAATAAGCAGTATGAAGAGAAGCCTGTCAGGACCTTGTTGAAGAACAGATCCCTGGATCAGGAAAATAACCCAGGTGAGCAACACTGAAGGGGATGGGGTGATATAAAAAGGACAACTTTTCCAAATGTGAAGTTATCCTTCCTGTGTTCAGTTTCAGACAGATTAAAGGCTGCCATGTGTTAGGAGATGATTTTAGAGGTTAAGGGTTACGATGAGGTGGTGAGGATTAATGCTAAGGGTCAGCTTAAGGGTTAAGTTCCTCACTTTTTTCACCACCACATACCCAGAATCAAATACTATCACCCTTGAGTTCTTAGCACAGAAAACCAATGTACCAATGTCCTAAATTACATGTTCACCACTTATGCATCCCATGGTCCTGCAGTTCAATGAGATGCAAAAGTCTATATTAAATCTCTCCATCAAAATGGCAGGTCCTGTATGCAGAGATTAACTAAAGCCATGGAAAAGAGGCACAGAGAGAAGTGGCTTTACATATTACATTCATCCAACCCCTTTACACTATACAGAATTCAAACGTATTCATATAAAAGATGTGATTTTTACTCTACTTTAAAGCACACCAGTTACATGGTCATAATAAGAAAGGTAAACCTGCAGCAGCATAGCTGGATTACTCTGGGGCCACATGCTGGCTTTAGACTGCTTTCCCTCATCCCAGTGCAGTACTACAGCCCCCTGAAGATCATATACAACTACAAGCTTTTTAAACATTGGTATTTACATAAGGACAGACTCGCTCCACATATTTAGATAGTCAAGACTGGCTATAGGTAGCTCAGACACCAAGCACTACGCACAAGTAAGTATGTCTGCCCTTACCTATAAGCTTGGGTTTTTCAGAGTACTGCTTTGACATGTTGAGGAGAACAGAGGCTGATCTAAAGCCAAGATGAGCCACCAGAGGATATCTCTGTAGGGTTACTTTTCCTGTGTGCTTTTTTTAAAAAAAATAACAGAGTCCCTTTTAAGATCAACATTTTGGAAATATAATATACAGATTAATTTGAGGCGCTTTTAAAGTTGATAGACTTTCACTCTACAAGCATTCAGTATGCCATCAAAAATACAACACATTAAACAGAAACCCATTCATCAAAAATACATACATTTAACTTTATTGCATTCAGAGTGTAATGCTTGCTGACCCATTCAGGAAAGGAAAAAGGTAACAATGGAAGGATAGAAAAGCATAAGTAACTGTCTATGGGGCAAAAGTCACTATGTACTGAATACTAATTCTAATAATTGCTCAACAAAAACTTTCTGCAGTCATTTGACTCCTTCATAGTATAAGCAGATTATTTTATTTTTTCTTCATATTGTTTAGTTTACATGATCTGAAATGTTAGAACTTAGAATCCACTTTACGTTAACAAACAAATCCCATGTTATAAAGCGAAGCAGGTTTGGTTAATCTGTGGCTGTCCAGTGGCTGTGGAACTGCAAGTTGTGCGGCCAAAGGTTACATAAGCACATGATAAAGTAAGGTAAATATATCAATAGAATCTTTTTTTGCTCTATAGTTAACAGACTCCTTTGTTCTTCAGTTAACACAAAATCAGTCATTCTAAAAGGTTTCCATACAAATAAGATAATCATCCAGTTAGACATCATCAAATGTGAGCAGACACCCCCAGCTATCCAATCTCTGGGAGAAAAACCTGATTGGCTAGGCTGGACTTTCTTGCTACGGTTTCCCCTAAAATTAGGTGTTTAATTGCATAAACATGGCCCTTACTGCAGGTGATACATGTGTGCATACACGGATTAGGAAAAAGCCTGTTTGGTGGTCAGATTGTACATCTAATGTCCACGGCCAGTTTAGGAGATCTTCTGAATATGTGGCTGACCCCCTCACCCTGCGCCATCTGTGCACTTCTGCATTTATATCTTCCAGACACAGGTCTGAAAGTGATTGATTTTGCAAATTCAAATCTGGATTTGGGCATCAGTACTCACAGACACTTTCATGCCAAATATAAGATAACCCTAGCATGTGGCATGCTGCACTTAACTGTCTGAGTATAAATGCAGATACACATGACATATGCTACTGGACATTTCATACACTGTGTAAGACAGCACAGCAACAGAGGGTGCTTAAATGGTGTTAGTACTCAAAACTGGTATTACTTCCTCACAACAACCAATCAGATTCAAACCTGCCCGACTGGTGTCTATGTGGAGATAATTCCAATTCTTAGCACTCACATTATGATACATAAAGCTCAGGATCTCAAAGACATCAAAGGGCAATGTGAGAAATTCAAAAGTGCAAGCCTAAACTCTTCTGTCCTGCTGTTCGCATAACTTCATGTTACAGCTTTGACTGGGAAAATAAAGTATCCCAGTTATCAAGTGGCAGTGCGAATTGTCAGAAACCAGTAGTCTGATGGCAAAAAAACCATTCCAAATAATAAGAAATGTATTCTCAAATTAACTTTTTATTATTTCAAAATTGAATAAAGGATTAAAGCACCTCTTCGCATTTTTATTCATCATCCTTCAACGCTTCACATATGAAACATGCAGCATTACATTGCTCTTGCTTTGACGCATAACATACATTTCAAAAAGGTAGTTTACTCCTTGGCAACCAGTACAGAAATGTACTTAAACAGTGACATTAACTTTATCTAAAAATAAAACAAACAAAAAAATAAATGTGCCAGTTGAGACAATCATACCCAGAGACTACATCTTGTCATCACATCCTCTATAGAGGAATACTGAAACCTGATACTGTATGCAGACAGTTATTTACGTGTTCCTGAAAAGATGTTCTAACATGTACTAAGTGACGTACTACTGCAAGTTATCAGCATCCTCGAGAGCTAAATGTGTGTGATGACGCTATCAATCCGTGTCAGCACTAGCACAGGGAATTTAGATTTAACAGAAATGTTTACAGAATTTAAAAGCGATGTACCAGTATTAAAGAACACTCTTTATATATGTGTACATTATTTACTTGAACTCACTTGTTGCCCCTTATGCAGCTATTATGTCCCATAAAACAGGAATCTTCCAGTCAACGATCTGCCAAGATGTCAGGTTATCTTGAAGAAAGCCTGTTTACTTATAATAAAAAGATGAAGGTATGTGCAGGAGGTAGGAAGTGGTATAAAGGGGATGCTAAGCTTTAATTGTATATATAGATTTTTTTTTAAGGACCTCCTTTTCCTATAACAGGAGTATAGAAAGCACCGAGCAGACATCCCACTTCAACTTGTGTCTAAACATCTTGTATTCTATCTTGGGTTAATATTCTAAAGCAAAACATTGTGGGGAGTGTGCTCACGCAGTGAGATGTCATTCCTTGTATAAAAGAGTTAGCCCGCTTTATTTTGAATTTTTTTTTGCTTCTGTATTCCCCCCTTCCGTGCCTCAGAATCCTTCTCACCACATGGTGTAACCTCCGTCCGAGCCACCCATGAAGTAATTGCCTTTTCTCTGTGTAACCACAACATTGGCACCTTGCATGGCTGCCAGCTGGGCTGCATTTGGAGGGCAGCCAGGAGGTGGTGGCTAAAAGAAAGAAGAGAAAAAAAACCATGAAAAACTGGACAAGTTTACAACAACTTTGACTTGTCTATCATGCACAGATATAAGTCGACTATTCCTTCTGCTGATATTTAAAGGAGAACTATGAGGCGAGTGTCCTCTCCTCATAGTTCGAGCCGACGTGTGACAATGAAACTGTCACACGTCGGCTCAATAGATCGGGAAGTGAGCAAACACATACAGTCCCTCGCTCACTTCTCTATCATGTCCCTGCAGAGAGCAGTGACCGTCAGTCACAGCTCCCTGCAGGGATTCCCCTTCGATCCTCTAGCACTGTCTGGAGGAACGAATGGGGAAGGGGGCGGGTACAGCTGAGTGGATCTCGACAGTAATGTCGGGATTCGTCCCGGTTGCGGCGGTCTCAGTATACCATGAGCTGTAGCTCGCAATATACTGAGCGTTAGGTCACAGGAGGACGCCAATATATGTCCTTCCGTAACCCTTGAGAGAACTATGGGGAAAGACACTTTTAATGTCACTTACCACGTAACAGTATCTCTCACCAGACTTTATTACTGAAAACTCCAGGAAGAGGAAAAAAAGATACAACGCTTTTGCTGCAGATAGGTTGTATCTTCTTTATGAAAGTGAACCTAAACCCTCCTATCCTTTGAGGTAAGAAATCAAAAATACGCAATTCATATTCCGGTTAGATGGCCTCGGATATTCAAAAATAATAGATTTTCTCACCTCTGAACCGTTTTTATGCTGCCACTCCCCAAGATGCCACCATGTTAGCCTCTATTTAAATCTGCAGTTGACAAGGTGTTGCACATGTGATCAGATATGACATCAGCCATTTAAGGGCAAGAAGAATCAGTTGAGAGCTGACAGAAGCGCACTGGCAACTGTGACAGTTATCACCAGAAACAATGCTGGATTAAATATTTCATAATATTTTTTAACTTGAGCTTTCTTTTTGGAGACACCTTTACATCTTTGGGGTTAGTTCCACTTTAACCCATTTACTTGCACAAGTATCTAATTAGTCTATTTGATGGCATGTAAGATGCACCACATGTCAATAGCCCAATGGAATGTCTGCCAGTGTGCTCCTCAGACTCCTATTTGACTTCAAGTTGTGTGCAGTCTATCAATATTGTTAACAGTCAGTTGCTTAAACAAATCAAGCTGAAATTTACCTGCAATTAAAGAGCTATTATACTCACATCTCTGGCGGTCTGTTTACCACCTTCACTCCCAGAAGTGTTAAAATGAAGACCATGACACAGACAGAAGTGCTGAAATAGAGTGACGTGGGAGACACAGGCCACATAAGAGGCAAGTATAATGGTTCTTTTATTGCAGGGGACCTTCAGCCCCAATTTTTTAAACCGCTAATATGTTTTTTTTCTTTATATTGAAACTGTCAAATACAATTACATTATTGATTTTTTTTAATACTGCAATTGTTAGCCTACAATGAAAAAAGCACAGCAGGATGTTTATTAAGAGAAGTGAACAAACTTAAAAGCCTTACATGCCCTTAAAACATTTATAAATGTATTTAGGTACACAAATTAAGCTGGCCATACAGCTATAGATTGTCTGCAGATCTTCTACGGTCAGGTGGAAAAAGTGCAACAGATTCCTCCATCTACGCTAAACTGTGTGAATGGAGGAATCACCCACTGGGCCATAATTCAGTATCTTGCTAGTTGGTCCCGCTGGCTCTCAAAACAACTGAACAATGCCTGCATCCAATCAGATTGTTCAGGTATTTTGACAGCCAGCAGGGCCGACTAGAAAGATACTGAAGCTTGGCCCAGTGGGAGATTCCTCCATCCACACAGTTTAGCATAGATGGAGGAATCTGTTGCATTTTCCATAGAAAATCTGCAGAAAATCTATAAGTGTATGGCCAGTTTTTGGCAGAGTACTTGTCCAGTTATCAGATGTTGCTAAATTTTACCTGAGCATCAATAACGTCTGGACACGAAAAGTTTTAACTCGTAAAATAGTTGTCACGTGATGCGTACACCTAAATTTCTGTTTTGAATAAAAAAAGTTTAACAACCAGGTGCTTACATTGCTCTTCAGATGTACTGAAAAAAGCTAGTGTCTCACTACTCTTGCAATGTTCCTGTCATGTTGCAGGAGCACTGTATGCAGAACAAAAAGGTGCAAAGAGATGTAACCCTCTAAATCTGAAATTTTGAGTGTCCAATCCAATTAAAACAACTGGGTGTTGACCATTTACCACTATTTCCATGCAAGAAAGAAGCCCATTCATGTTCTGAATTCTAAAGCTGTTGCTGGAAATCACAGGCTTAAAAACAGACTGGTTTCACTTCTGCGCTAATAGTTTTGCTTCAGGAAAGAGAAGCAAAGGGTAGGTGAAGGAGAAGGACTGTGACATTATACCAGCAGCAATGGCAACAGAAAAGTAAACACACACTAGAATACCTACCGGCACAGATCCACTATTCCCAGGACCGAACCTTGCACCTGCATCATACCCTCCATCCACAATGACTGTAGAGCCAGGAGGATACACAGGTCCAATAGGGTAGTAAGCCATGGGCACTGAGGAACCCATTTGTTGCATTGTCTGAGGCATTTGCACATACATAGAGGCTCCAGGGTAGGATGAGAGAGATTGCATATTAGGAGCAGGTTGGTGAACATACCCCTGGCGATAAAGCTGCAGAGAAGAAAAAAAAAAAAAAAAAGATGAATATCACATACATGTTATACAGGAAGTTCTCTCACATTCATTTTTCCACCCATAAACATTTTTCTGTGATGACACACTGTCTAGTGATGGGTTACGTTACCTCAGAATAGGCAGGAGGAGCATCTGTGTAGGGAGGAGCTGGTGAAAGATGCATGGCTGGTGGATAGACAGACTGTGGATTGGGAGTCTGGGTTGGATAGGCTGGGGCTGAAGGGTACTGTCCTGTAGAGGAAAAGCAAGGACACAGATATAGGTAAACATGATGTTACGACTGGTATTTGTGAACTTTCTGTAAAATATTGAAGTCAAGTCACACTTTTCCATACATCAAGCATCCCACACATGTAAATCCACAAGTTTCCAGGATTAGACTACCAGCCTTCTGAAACAAGTAAAGGAGCCATCCCTTAAATGCCTGTTTATGTGCTGAGGCAAGGATCAACACATTACAGAAAACTAGAAGCCAGCTAACATGTCATTAAAAAATTGCAAGCAGGATCTAAACCCACCGATCTATTGTTTCCCAAAAGAAAGCTCAAGATAAAAGTTTTATAAATGTTATTAAATCCTTAATCAAGCATACCAATGTTGTTTCCTGTAGTGTTTGCTACATTCAAGGTGGGTCTCTGGTGAGGACAGTGAGTTGCCAGAGTGTTTATGTCAGCTCTCAACCTTTCATAGCACTTTCACAGTTCTGCTATCGTATTAAATATAGTAACTTGCAGACTAACCACTAGAGACGGCAAACAAATGGCAATGACTGTTTTTGTCCTTTAATAACTGCAGAGATATCAGCCACATTGTTTTCAATCAGTTGGCTGACTCAGAGTTGCATTTTGAGAATGAACAGTAACGTAGCAGTATTGTGTAACGCTTCAAAGCCGGAAGTAGTCTGCATACGTAATGAGGAAATATGGCTGCCGCATGTACGTACAATAACATGCAGAGACAGGGTTGTTTAAAACACTAAGGGTCCGTTCACACTAGCCCATCTGTTAAAATGCTCCGTTTTAGTGGACACGCTAGTACATTGTGACAACTCCAGCAGTGTGTGTGGTGTATTGCACACTACCAAAACTGTCACTGTTTGCATTCTTTTTTTTAAAACTTTGTTAGTGTACAATGTGCACACTCCATTCAGGTCTGTGTACAACAAGGTGTGCCGTGGTGACCTGAGGTGGCATCAAGTGTGATGTGGGGGGAAAGAAGCAGCATGTCTACATTTTTCTGCAGCACACCACCCATCACACCCACATTGTGGTGTGAACAGGGCACATAGAAAACAACTGTTTTCTTTGTGCCCTAGCAGTGACCTGCGGTTTTCTTGCGTAAAAAAAACCCAACGCGTCACTGATATAGTGTGAACATATAAAAAAACTGAAACTGTACACTCCCTTCAATTTCCAGTGCCATTACAAAACTTGGAAGCCCATCTCTGAGAAGAACTTAAAGTGATATTAAAGTCAAAATGTTTGTAGGCTTAAAATGCTGATATTTAAAAGTTTAACGTTCCTGCAGAATCAGCTGGTCCCCTGAGCACTGGCCCCCGATATCCTTTTTTAGGGTGACTCCTTTCCCTTGCAGGGTCCTATAGAGCCATCCTTGTGTGTGCTAGTAAGCTGTGTGCACCTCCACAAATACTCAGCCACAACAAGTCAAGGCACTCCCCTCTCTCTCCTTCTTCCTCCTCCCTTCCCCAAGCTAGTAGATGGACAGCTGCTAGAGACTGCGCTGTCCCTGGTGATTTTGTACTGGACAGAAAGCTCAGGGAAGCTGAGCTGAGACAGTTGGAGCCGTTTGGAAACATGACTAAGTGCTTGGACATAATTGTAAAGAAATACTTTGCTGGGTGATGTATATTTGTTTGATCGGGATTCATTATTGAAAAAAAAGAGTGAATACTACTTTAAAACTAGTATTTGGATGGGGAGAGCAGACAGCTGGGTTATATTTCCTTGTGCAGGATTATATCTCAACGCTAAATCAGATGCTATAAACAACTAGTTTTTGTTTTTCTTCCATTTCTATAAAATTGGCCATAGTTTCTTTATAAATAAGGTTTTAAATATGGTCAAGACATGTAGAGAGATACAATACAATGTACAACAATGGGTCATAGCGGTTTAGTTCTTGTTAATCTTGCCTGTGACACCTGTACAGCATATTAATGAAAGTTGTAGAGAGTGTAGCGTGCACAGAAACTTGAACGTCTGTCCCCTGGGCTTCTCTTCAGGCATTCACAGGGGGCCTGTGTGCTGCTTGGCAAAGAAACATTCCCAGCATGGATTCCAAATCTCGGGTCAGAAACACAGCACAAAAGTAATTGTTAGGAATTGCTATGTCAGCCTTTCTGCCATGGAATAGGACTGAAATATACACTCATTTTTGAATGTATGAAACCTACAGTGCCGGGGAAAGCAGCAGTCGAAGAAATGCTACTGCAGTATGACGTAGCACACCAACGCTGTTCTGCAATCTCAGCATTTCCGACAAACCTAACCAAGAACACAAGATGCATGTAGCTTGGAAGGGCAGGAAATGGCTGATCTGGGTAAACACTTGGCTGGCATTGTGTCTGCTTTTTTTCTGCTTGTGTTAACTGAGGACAAGCACACTATAAGAACAAGAATGAAAAAACCAGGCAAGTAAGATAACTTCAATTACTTGTGTTCAGAAATCTAGGCAAAAGAATGAGGTTTCAATTACTTGTGTTCAGAAATCTAGGCAAAAGAATGAGGTTTATATAGCGACAGCAGTGTTTCTGAACCTTTTCTCCATCAGAGCACGCTTTAAAATCTCAAAGGCACCTCGGTTCGAGTCTAAAATGTAAAAGTGAGAAGAAAAAAAAAAAATCTTGTGGTAACCCCCAAATTCATATCAGACTCTTATCCTAGATAAGTGTCTGGTATAGATTTTGAGGGTAGGACCCCCATGCAGGGGCATCCCGAAGCCGGGTGTGACCCGCAGCGGAGACCGGGTGACACCTCGCTGTGACGTCATCGCATGCGCGGCCATCCAATTGACGCATGCCATCTTGGTGATGGACACCGGTAGAGAGAGGAGGGGACGTTCACCCAACAAGATGAGGTATGCCACCAGGTCCCCTCCTTTCTCCTGACACTCTGTCCATGACCGAGTGCCCAACTTTTTAGGGGGGGGGGGCACCAAAATGACTGTCAGTCATTTTGGCGTCATTCTTCCAATGGTGTCACCCGGGTGTGGGTCACACCCCCCTTGTGACGCCACTGCCCCATGCAACAAAATGTCACACCAGAAAACTCCCTTTCCAGGAGCCCCTTCCACATCAGTCTGTGGTCTGTCTGCACCATGGAAATGCATGAGGCTGTGTGAAAATTTAATGGAACACCTGACGAAGCCTAAGGGCACCCTGGTTGAGAAAGGCTGGGCTAAGAGTTTATTTATGACCTATTCACACCATATGCTCAAAACAGGCCCAATGCAAAAATAAGCTGAAATTCATTGTATCCAATAGGCTCAGTTAAAACTTGCGCGTTTTGTTAGTGTGCGCCCTGTCAGAAAAAAATGCACATCAATACAATTAAAAAAATAAAATAAAATGAATCGGTCAACACATGTCAAATAAGTACAACTAACACACTTTAATAGTAGCTACATGCAACGGATGTGGTGTTAATCCAGCCTTGCAGACAATTCCTAGATTTTGAGATAAAAGGCAGCTCAGTCACCGGGAAACATAGAAGATCAAAAGTGGAAAACAAACCGGATCTTTCATGTCTTAGGGTCCCCACACACCTTACGATTATCGTACGATAATCGCGGGAAATCCCGCGATCGTACGATGATCGTAAGGTGTGTGGAAGCCGTGCGACCTCTACTACTGTAAGGTCGCACGACTTTAAACTTACGGACATGTTCGAAAACCCGCCGAGCATCGTACGATGTTCGGCGAGTTTGTGGCATGTCCGTACGATAACAGCCGCACGTGCCGGTGTGCGCAAGTGCACACTGCCCGTTCGGCATTGCGGTCATCGGAAGCTCGCCCCTCAGGGGACGTGGCTTGCGATCATCGGCAGATCGTACGTTTTTTTAAGTACCTTACAACCATCGCAAGACAAAAGTCTTGCGATGGTTGTAAGGTGTGTGCCCAGCCTAACACTGTCAAAAGGAGCCGTGAGTCATGATACACGTTAAGTATAAAGCTTATTCACATCTGCATGCTTCAGTCATTTTTTTATGCTTTCTAAAACTATAGAAAACACAACATATTGCTATCTCTTAGGCCTGTATACACTGGCTTCAGGCAACAGATCAATGCTAGAGCAAGGTATACTCACTGTAGAGAACAAGCCCTCTCAGGGCACTGCACATCTCAGGGCTTGTTCACACCAAATGCAGACCAGATCTGCATGAGTTTCTGCACACGCAGTGCAGTGGGTTGTGCCGCGTTTTTGATGAGTTCCGGGCCGTTTGCATGCGTTTCAGAGCAGGAAAAATAGGGCTTGCTGCAGGTTTTTTTACATGCTCTGGAACTGAACGCTGCGGTGTGAATTAGAGCCCAAAATACCATTGGAATACATTGGACGTTGGAATACATTTTGATCCGGTCTGTAACTGCTCTGCTCCTGGAACGCGCTTGGTGTGAACAAGGCCTAAAGCTGTGTTAATGTGACACTAAACTCAGGAGTTAAATGTTAAAAATACATTCAAGTACCTTAACTATTACAAAAAAATTTATTTGTGTATCACTCGGCTGTAGATCCTCCAATCATCTCTGAATGGGTGCAGACACAAATAAGATACATCTTCGTTAATAGTTATGCATTTTTAAGATGTAACTCGAGTTTAGTGTCACATTAAAGTCTGAAATTTAATTCAACTTCCTTCAACTGAACCTGATGTGGACTACAACATTTCTAAAGGCGACATATGTGGTAAAATGCAGACCCCTTGCAATCCCTGAAACTATCCGTGTTATTCTGTGCATCAGTCCATCAGCCAGTGTGGAGCTCTTTAGACCAAGCTGGGCATGGTCTGCTCAAGTTGATATTAAAACTTATTTTTTTTATCATCAGAAATAGTTTTTTTTTTTAATCCTTCAGATCCTCGTTTTCTAGTGGGTCCCTGCAGCGCTTTCCCCCCCGCCGGCTGCACGGGTGCCTCCATCCGCTAAGCGGTTGCTGTGGAGGCACCCATGCATGCTCGTTCACAGCCATGCCTGTAGTGGCTGTGTGCGTTCATAG